TTTTACATTTCTTCTTGTCATTTTATTTCGTTAGTATTAAATTCATGGTAACGAAATAAAATGACAAACGTGTATCAAATAAATCTGCTCACCTGCAATTTATAATGGCGCATTGTAGTCACCTTCGTGCACGAAAGTTGGTTCAATCTCAGCTGCTCAACATTTTCAGTTATTTGCTGTTGAATCGCCGATTTTCAAAATGCAAATGATCTGTTTATTTTCAAAGAATAGTTTGTTTTGTTATTGTTTGGTCGGTGTCTTATATGAAACTGCGACATTGCGCAATGTATTGGACAGACTTGTTTAAGATCACACAGCGTAATTTGGGTGGCATTTTATTTCGTATTTTTAAATCATCTTTTTATTTTTGACTATCTGTAAATTTAGTTTCCTGCTCTTCATTGTGAATGCATACTTGATGGTTTTAAATGCTCCTGAAATGAAGTGCTGCTTGACGAGCCTATATTGTGTATGTATGTGACGTCACTGAAGGCCTAAGGTTGAAATGCACGGCCCGCCACTGATAATAATACTTAAGTTATGATCCTACGTATCACGTTAGCATCATCGCTACATGCAAATGTGACTGATCAAAAGATGACACCATTGATTGCTACCTTTACCAGGTGGCTGCCGGCTCGTTATTAGCGACTAACCTGCGAATGTTTACGTGGCCAGGCTATAAAAACTCTGCTCAAATGTTCATGTTTTCCACTTCATCTCTTCTATTGTCTTGTTTTTGACGACATAACACGCACAACAGCTTCTTCCTCCACGTTGTTCTGTAGATACCGTGAAGGGAGAAACTTGTCTCGTCAAATAGCTTCATCTTTGGAAGTCATGGCTGCATGTCAGCCGCGCGTTTAGCTGTGCGTTTGGTCAGTTTGTTACTATTACTTTCTGTTTACTGCTTCTTCTTTCATTTATTGGCGGATTCTGTTTATTTCAACTTGCACGCCAATGTTCGAAGGGGGAATCCGACTGGCTAGAGTCACACACATTTCCGCCACATCTGATGGTGTAAATATGTTCACAGCTCGCAGGTCTGTGTCCCTGCTGCCTGGTAGCAAATGGGCCGTGGCTCAGGACTGGTCTGTGGACTGGTGGTTGGGGACCCCTGACCTAAAAAGTCGATCTATGTACTGTGCAATAATAGCTTTCTTTCATTCTGAAAATTCTTCTGTAAAATAGAATTGTTGAACACGTGTGCGTGTGTGTGTGTGTGTGTGTGTGTTACATGATTAATTTCCACATGGAATTGACCACTCTGCGACAGCATCTACAATTTAGATTATTTTAGCATTTTGGCAAATACTAATCTTGAAATTAATAATTTGTGAGAATGAGATGACAAAATGAATGTTCATGTCATGCTCGTGTTAAATGTAGATCTGTAGTCAGGATGTGGCTTGGCAATGTTAGATTGGAACTGAACTGGAAGTAGGAGAAAACAGAATGCCTGTCTCGTTCCAAACTACAGAAATAGACATACCGACCTCAATGACGCACTAGCAAGAACTCAATCAGGAAATTTCCCTCTTTTATCTGCTTAAATTCTTGCTTTCCTCCCCAATGACATTATTCACTTTCACTTTCTCATGCGGTCCATTTACATCTTTGGGGCTTTTTTTTTTTTTTTGTAACGGCAACATGTATCTGTTTAACACCTTATTCACCATTCTCAAATTTACAACACTTCAACACTTGATCTTCAAGTACACCATTGGTGCAAAATGAGAGGAACAGACCCCAATGAAGTGCATTATATTAGACCGCCTCCTTTCTCCAAGATTCTAATTCCTTCAAAACAAATAGGACAGTTCTGGGCTTGTTAGGTTGAGTTTGGTGTGTAGGAATTTGTCTTTACAACATATTTAGGATGAACTTGAATGAGACTGAAAGCTCAATGTAGCACTGGTTCGACCTGCTGCCTGTTTCGAATTCCTACGTGGGCCTTCATTTTAGCTCGGGTTTGCATGTTTTCCCTGCGGTTTTGTGGTCTCTCTCAGTTCCTCTGGTTTTCTCATGAGGAGGGCTACAAGCCTTCTGTGCACAGAAGACCCAAGGTCACTGCACCTCCGATGACTCTCTTGAGCATGTGTAAAAGCATCAAGTGATTTATTAACTCTAACACCAGGGGTGAACAATGCCCTGCCAGATGCCCTCAAACCGGTTCTGTGCCCTGTTTGAATACCCCAGCAATAAACCCCCGAGTGTCAGACACATACCACCATCTGATTACATGCCACTCAGTGTGACCCCAGCAGATGTGAGGAAGACTGTTCAAAAGATCAACCCCCGCAAAGCTAACAGCCCAATTAATGTCCGGGGGCAACGTACTGATGGACTTTACCCACCAACTGCCTGAGATGCTCACGGACATTTTTAACAAGAAAGCCCATGTCATCCTTTTACCCAAGAGCTCCACAGAAACTGATCTGAATTACTGTCGGCCAGTCGCCCTTGCGATGACAGTCCTGAAGGGCTTTGAGAAGCTGATCATGGCTGAGATTAAAAACTTCATTGATGCACTGGTGAACCACTTCACTCTTCAGCTACCTGGACAGCAGAAACATCTACCATCTTCCAGATGCTAGTGCTGAAGGACAAACTGTCACTTTACGTGGTGGTGGTGGACCCCAAAAAGCAGGCAGGAGGGATGAGCAGGGTGAACTTGACAAAATTGTATTAAAATACTAAGGAAACAAAATTGGAAACACACAAAGTCTGGAAAACAAAACAAGTCCAAAGTAGCAAACAAAAAACATCACTGAAGCTTCAAAAAACTAGAACAGAATCATGACAGAAACAAACATGACAGGACAAACAAACAATGACCCGACACTGAGTGGTCGTGCCGGGAGTCCTTTTAAACAGCTAACAACATAACGACCAACAGGTGTGCAGCTGCAGGGAGAGCCCTACAGTGCCACCTGTTGGTCACAAACCGAAACATGACACAAACAGACCACAGACAATTGGATCCATAACACTGTGTCATTTTCCTTCATGACTGTGTTGTATTATCTTGTAATTGCAGTGTAGGATCACAACTCTTCTTTTTTTTTTTTTTTTATATCTGACAAATAATTTTGTAGAATTGAGAAACCCTCCTACAACCACACTTTTCCAATAGTATTTCCGGAAGCTATTATTCAAGAACAACACCGCATTTTCTCCCACATTCAGTTCCCTGGAGGTGTAATGATTAGTTGTCCCAATACTTTTGTCCACCAAGTGCAGTTCCAAGGAGGTGTTTCCATCATTTTTATTTGTTGTCACTTTAACAACCCCTAAAAGTGTGTATATTACTTAAAACAATAAGTGTAAAAATAAGCAAGTATTTTTTTTCTGGAGAAAAAAACATGTTGGGAATGTGTGCATACCATCCATCCTGCCGGACAAGAGCATTCCCCGGTCACATGATGACATATGCCGCCGTTCTGGCAGGGACACCTCTCTTCACACTGTTGTCCATGTTTACCTGGAGGACATGCATCCTCACAGCTGAGAACAAACACAACAGTGTGCACGTGTAAAAATATAATGTTAAGACAGTATCTCCTTGGATAATTAAAAAGTTAAATCAGTTTAAAAAATGTTATATTTAAGTGAATGATCAAATTATCTGGTGTGCGTGAGGGGGAGTGAACTGAATACCCAGCAGAAAAAAAAAAAAGACAGCTGAGGCCTCTGTTAAGATTCAAACACAGATTCTTTGGTTATGAGACAGACACACTAATCACATGCGACACTCTGCCTTCATTTAGTCGACAACCTTGCCAAATTGATTTGTTCTGTTTTGCATTATAAACCAACAAGGCATTGTGTGAAGATGCTGTTATAAGAGTCATCTTGTCACACCAACATAAACTGAAATTTAATAGCCTCTCTATGGTGAGATGAGTTTTTTTTCTTTCAACTTGACAATAGCCAAAAGCCTGAAGACTTTCTTAAAATATGACATTGATGTCTCCAAAAGGCCTTCAGATAAGGGAATGATAATGAATAGACAGTAGATTTTTCATTTATGCTGTGGGGCCTTCAGTTAGTAAAATGCAGCTGCAGATCCTGGCTTTGAAAACGGCAGCTGTCTTGCTCTAATGGCATTATCAATGGTAACGCTGCATCAGGCTGCATGAAGTCATGGAAACTGCAACTGCGACCCACAATCGACTAATCTCCAACAGGTCTCTTGTGGTGCCCATGTTCTACTTGGACATTAGTGAAAAAAAAAAACCAAAAACATCGGGAAACACAAAGAGCTGACTTTTGTAGCTTTAGTCTATAAGTGAAAAAAAGATGCAGTAGCTTATAGAGTGCCACAAGCAAAGTCCTCTTGATTACCAAAGGGGTAGTGGGGGCACATATAAGAAGACTCATGATGGTAACATACTATTGTTTGTAGTTACTTGTAGAAAAGCAATGTCCACAATAATATTGGGACTTGTTCTAATTAATTTCAATTACATTCATTACATTTGTGTTTTACTCCGGTGAGATAACGCTTCCTTGGCACATAGGTAAATTGAGTGAATTGAGCTAGGCCATTGTGTCACTGTGAACATTTTCCCTGGCTCGGCATCTTCCTATTTATTGGCACCCTTGCACACATATCGAGCTGTAACCATGCAGTCAAACATGGCCACATGGGCGAGGCAGAGCCGCGCTCCTGTGTGGGGGCGGCTCACAGAGTATAAAAAATAGGAACCATTTTGGACAAATTAGACCTTCCTCCGCATTGATCAGAATGATGCTCCATGGCTAAAGGGGTGTTCACACGGCAACTTTTGCTCCGGTGCAGTGCCGGGGCTGCCCCAGTAGAGCGTTCACACTTACAAAGTTACACCGGTGTAGCCCCTGAAAACAGCTTAAACCGGAGCAAATTTAACCCTGCTCAAGGAGGTGGTTTAAAAATTTGCTCCGGAGCAAATGCTCGTTTGTGGGGCAGCACCGATGTAAAATGGTACGTGTGAACGCTACAGGGGTAGACTCGCTACGCATGAGAAGAGTTGATTCCATACGGGTAGAATGCGTTGCTTTCGTGCTCTGTTGTACTTCCGCCATCTTTCCTTTTGTAGGAGACTGGACTGTCTCGGAGTTGTTTGTGTAGTTTGTTCCTTTGTTGTGTGTTCACAACCCCCCCATAGAATTCCCCATAACAATTTATTTTGTTATTTCCTCTCTTGATTTTCTGTTTGGCGCATTATGTTTTCTTTTCTGAGTGTCATTGAAGTCATCGTTCATTTACGTTTTCGGGGGCGGTCATTGAACGCCTCTCGAGCAGAAGGCACGGAGACCGAGAAGTACATGCCTGTAGTTGCTTGAGTTAAACAAATTAATAAAGTGTATGTTTTAAAAAGAACCAACACGACAGCTCTTTGTTTTCTTTCGTATTGCACGGCCACAGAAACTGCCATGTGAATGCAAGTGGGGCTACACCGGGGTAAACACGCTTCGCTTTAGTCAGCAGCTTTTTATGTGTGAACGCTCCACAAAATTTGCTCCGGTGTAAGATATATTGCAACAAAATACATTGGTGCAGCACCAATGCAAATGTGTGCCGTGTGAACACCCCTTATGTCTCGATCTTCCGGGCGTTCATGAACTAGTTCAACGAAGATTATGCCGTCTTGTGGTAGTTACTGTTAGTAACATTGTAATTTTGGGAGCATTAAACCTTACCTTTCATGCACCAATAATGATAACATGTAAACTGTCCACTGTAGTAACCGCTGTCCCTGAAAGGGTTAAAGATAAAAGGACCGGGTGAACGTTCCCTCAGTGCTTTTTACTCCGCTCGCTCTTTGGTAGCATATTTTCCAATTAATAGCCGAAATGATCATAGGGAACATGTAATATTAAGTAGTCATTATTGGGTTTAGAGGCAGGAAAACAACATTTTAAACTCGGACTTACAAAGCTCCAGTGTATCCTGGTGAGCACTTGCATTCCCCAGTCACGTGGTGACAAGTAGCCCCATTTTGGCACTGGCACTTCTGCTGACATCCATTACCATAGGTGCCCACCTCACACACTTCCTCACAACGCCATCCTCTGTATCCGGGACTGCAGATACAGGCTCCAGTGATGGGGTTACACAGAGCTTTGTTCTGGCACTGACATCTGTTGCTGCAGTGGGGACCCCAGTGGCCACTGTCGCAAGCTGAAGAAAAAAGAAGAAAAAAAAAAGGTTTACAGTTGCACAAACAATCCAACATAGTCGGGGTGTAACAAAGAAAGGATCTCAATTGGGATTTTTTTTTTTTTTTTTTAAATTTAAAGGGTCTGTGTCATGCATAATCAACGTTTATAAGCTTTTAGTCATGGTAAAATGCTAACCTTCACCAAAAACACCCCCAAAGTGTACTTTTCCTTCGCTCACCGATCTCTGACCATTCCTGCTTTTCCAAGCACCAACTACACCCAATTCAAGAAAACAATTGGGTCCTCAATCTCATACATATAAAATTGAGGAGAATTGAGAATTTCTCCACCTTTTTGCACTCGCCCGCTGGAGTTCTGCTCTTTCGAGTAGACATTGGGACTTTCTCTCTAATTGCACACCGAAAGTTGTACCACAAATACTGCTAGTGGTCACTTGCTAAAAAATGGTGCAGCGATTATCCGCACCAACTGCACAACCTTCATAGTATTGTATTGCACCACTGATGAATTTATCTCAGCTTGATCACTCTGCACATTGTCGCACGGCTGTCATTGGGTGGTACGACTGCACAATGGTACCCTTCTATTCTGAAAAGTCTTTCAATACTTGTATGTCATGTCTTTGTTTATTGGAGTTACTTGCTATTGCAATTCAAGTGTCGCCTATACTGCCGGAGACAAATTCCTTTTGTACACTACCTACTTGGCCAATAAAAGATCTGATTCTGATTCTGATTCTATTGTCTTGTGCTGCTAAAATCAGTAAATTTCACTCTGTGGGGATCAAAGGTCTTATCTTCAAACATAATGAGCCGTCGACCAAAATTTACCATGACTAATATGCACACTAGTGAAAAGACGCCTTTCATAGTTTATGCACGGTCCACTCGACACACTCAAAATGTACATTTGTAATTTATATATTTTACCCATAGCACCACAACAACTTTACATAAATGCCATTTGTGTTTTTTTAATTGTGAGAATGTCCAATGCGATGTCCTTTTCAAATCCAAAAATACATGCAATCAAGTCTTCCAAGGGACATGGACGCTGGAAGGCACGACTCGACAAATAAAAGGCTGCTTGTTGCCTAATGAGGTTGTTCAAGGAGGCAGTTCAAACTTTGGGAGAAAAATGAAAATCTAGCCCCCGGTGTTGAAACTGATCAGGGTACAGATTTAATTGAACACGATTGTTGGGACATAATAATTTGGAACTGTGTATTATTTTGAGCGAGCAAATCTTAGTGTTTATTTTTATCACAGTCTGCCATAATCGACAAGCCATTAGTTTCATTCTTGCAGGGGCTTCACTCTTTATTATAGCATTAAAAGGCAAGGCAAGGCAAGGCAAAGCAATCCATTCTGAAATCTATCAATTTAAAAATCTGTCCAATCCCAATCAGGGACATCTAATTTACCTCCGGTTGCTGGCGTGAAACCTTTATCAGACCAGAGTCCTTCAACTTCTGGTGTTTATCTGGACTCTCCAAAACATCTTGCTTTAGTGATGCTTCATGTAATAAATGCTAATCTGTAGTGTTGCCGTCGTCAATGAAAATTAGGATAAATATCTTCGTCGTCGAGACTTTATCACATGAGGAAGACGAGACACAACGCTATATTGTTGACGAATAAAGACAAGACTAAATGTGGTTTTGCAAACTAAAACCAAGACATGCCGAAATGTCACAGATGTGACAAAATGTCATGTTATTTCTGTTCCCTGGGTTGCGACGTCTTTTCCTCAATCCAGACGAATGAGATATTGTTTTGATCAGTCGAAAAATATGGAATTTCTGGAAAATGTCCGCCACCCTAATGACAATAAACAGTTGTAGCGGGCGGCCGGTGGACATTTGCACCACTTCCCCTCCAGTCGACGATTGTGCAGGTAGGTTGATTGCCCATTGTGTGATGTGTGCAGCAGACATGCAGTGCCACCAGCTCCAAAGAAAATTTTTTTTTTTTTTATTCCTGTAAAACACACCCCAAAATATCCAGATGTTAACAAGTGGACACATTATTAAATTATCTTAAATGTTCCTGGTGCAATGTAGATTAAAAATCTTCTTTTGTCATTGGGATTCAGTGTGGTGATAGTGAAGGCGAGGGCAGACGTAGCTTGCAAGGCAAGAGTGCAGGAACCTCACAAACAAAAATAACAATCGAGGAATAGGATGAAATTCCAAAAAGTACCAAAATAGAAAGAAAACAAATTGAGCAGGGTTTCGACATCAACGCGTGATGTGCACTCTACGACATCCAAAAAGCAACAATGAAAAAGACTAACTTTAAACAAGGACTCTAAACCGGTGGTGGCCAACTCGTGGCTCGTGAGCCTCATGTGGCTCTTCGGCTGGTTCAATGCGGCTCCCGGGCTTTCACATGATACGCGTCGAAAACGTCTCGGCGGTGACTCTGCCATTCAAACGGTGCTAAGTACAGCAGAACTTACGATGTCAGCCTATCATCAATCCCGTTCCTTGACATGAAAGCCAACCAGTCAGATGACCATTGAATTTTGACCTTGAGGTCACTGCTCATGTGTAAACAATGGCGCTAAGCTACTCAGTGAATTATCTCTGGTGTTAAGGCAGAGGTGCCCAATACGTCAATCGCGATTGACTGGGAGCCATCGGACTGGTCCCAAGTCGACCGCGAGGGGTGGGTGGAGGAAATGCGGGGAGGAGAGGGATTTGTGTGTCTGTGTGTTTCGGTTTTGTTCATGTTGAGGCCGTTCCGGCTGTTTCTCATCATGTGCGTGCATATGCGCGCGTGTGCATGGTTGGGCACCCACATGCGTGCGTGTGTGTGTATGTGCTTGCATGTGCATGACCGGGTCGATGGCGGGAGGTTGCTCACTTCAAAAGTCGATCTTCGGTCAAAAAAGTTTCCGACCCAAGTAGTAAGTAATCGCTGCAGCTCACATGCAGACAGTGCCTGCTTCGAGTGGCAACAACGGAATACAAGCCAGATTTGAAGAGGATTGGACCAGGGGAACAGAAGTAATGCCAGAAGTCCCTGCACTCAGGCGCTACGTGATTATATTTTTGTTTGTGGAATTGGTTGAACTGAGAGGTTGTAGGTGTGAGACAGTGCACACAATATTCATTGTTAAAAATGACTGGCCTGTGGTCTTGGTACTGTAGGAGTCCATTTTTTGTCATTATCATGTTGCTGTGTGACATTTACAATTAATCTGGCTGAGGAGTGGTCTGTGTGTGTGTGTGTGTGTGTGTGTGTGTGTGTGTGTGTGTGTGTGTGTGTGTGTGTGTGTGTGTGTGTGTGTGTGTGTGAGGAAGGGATGGAGTGATGTTTATGTGTGCCTGTGTGTATGATGCGGCTCTTTGCAGTAACACAGTAAAAAAAATGGCCACCCTTGCTCTAAACACACAGAGACTCACCAGAGAAGGTGCACACCTGGACAAGACATGAGTGGATGGATAGAGCTGATGAGAGGAGACATGAAGAACAGGGCAGACACCGGAAGGACAAAGACAGGTTGGAACAAATGTGGAACAAATAAGGGTGCGACAACAGGAATACAGTATGCCTCTCAAATGAGCTTTTTCTGCCGTTGCTATTGTTTTCAGCTTGTGGTGGCACTCAACTGGCACAACTGTGAGCATTTCATATTTTGAAAGTTTTTTGCCATATGCAACAAGCACAAGAGGATGCTTGCTGTCTTTAGCTCATCAGTATAAAACAGAATGATAAACCATACAGTCAATACACATATGTACCTGTACATACTGTCAGTAAACAACAAATAAGTGCACTTGTACTTAAAACCTTGGACTTGGTCCTAAAATCCTCACCTGCTATTTGCTCACGCTTTAGCCAGCAAATCCCAAATTAACTAAAATGGGTTGCTTATTGTACTTTTGTTGAAAAACATGTTATAGTCCAAAAGAAACGAAGAATCAAATTTGATCATCATGAAAAATGTTAACTGGACTGCACTTGTGCAGCGCTTTTTCTCCATCATGTGTTGTCCAAAGCACTTTACCAAGCCTCATATTCACATACTGGAGTGTACAACCCTGTGCTAATGCAGCCGTGTCAACCTTCAAGAAAGTTTTCCATTTTAGTTTAAAATAACTTACTTGAACCTCCAGGATCCCTTGCCATACACTGGCTGATGGAAGAACAGTGTGGTTTTTTTTTTCGCTATTGAGAAAGTTTTAAATCTATTCATGCTCTGTTGTACTAGCTAGCTAAAGCTAAGCTAGCCTGTGAGGTTTCATCTCCAAGTTTTCAAACTCCGTTTGTGTTCGGACGACATCAGTGGCCAAAAGTGAACTAATGATAAAGACGGTGATACATCTTTATTGACAGATTGCTGAACAGTTTACTTTATTGCTCTTTAGCCGGCCAAACTTTCCCATGCACGCGTAACCCCTCCGGGTGTCACTCTTGAAAAACACACTTCACAACACTGTGCTCCCCACCACATACTGGACATATATACATTACACGTGTTGCCATTTCAACATTCTTGTTTACACTACTACACGCAACAACGTGCAATAATATGCATTGATTCATTCTCTCTCGAATTCAAAAATTTTGATTCTACAATTTGTTTTTTTAAGCCACCACCGATTTAGGCATAGCTCTCACTAGTAATACTGTAATATTTATAAAAGCAATAAAAATCCTGTCGTGATTGTTTGACTGCTCAGCAGGCACACTGCGTACAAGTAAATACCTGTTCTTCCGTTGCGGTTAGTTTGTATACTGATGTCCCAGAGACCAATCCTCAAGGAGGAGAACAGATGATTTCCAGGGTGGTTGCTGTCTTTGACACCCAGTCACATGGATCTTCAACCCTATGATCTTTTCTGCTATTCTCACGACCCTCTGGGTGGCCATTTTGTAATTAGAGGTAGTGTTGCCATATAACACAGTGATATTATTCATCGCTATGCTCTCTGTAAGTCCTCAAAGTTCAACAGCCATTGTGAGTTTATGTAACATTTCCTCATGCACC